TTTTAAAATTAATTTATCTTCCAATTAAAGTTGACATATAATATTGTATTTCTTTCAGGAATACAACATAGTAATTAGACATTTGTATGACTTACGAAATGATCACCCTAAGACTAGTACCCTTAAGACACCAGACACAATTGTTATTGCAATTTTATTTACTGTATTTCCAATGCTGTTCTTTATATCCTGTGAATGATTTTATAAGTGACAATTTGTACTTTTTAATTCCTTTCACTTTTTTCACCCATCCCCAAGTTTTTAAATTTAGTAAATTCACTTTCAAAAACCATTTAATATGGCTATTTAGCCTAATAATCATCAGTGACATAAGACATTAGATTTTCTCATTATATTAATTTTTATTGAAAGTATCCAAAATTTTCCTCTGGTTGGTATTTTTATTTCTATGTCCAAGAGCTATGATTGACTTATTACTATATTATAAATTCTGCAACGTACAGGTACCCAGTGATATGGTAAAAATGTATGAACACAACACTGTCATTTACTGATGTTCAGTGTTACATTTCTTGTGTGTGCCTGCAATTTTTAAATCTTGTAGTTCTTGAAATTATAGGTACGAAAACCACAAGCTAAATCAAATCTGAAAAAAAAAAACAATAACTGTGAAATCAGTTTCTTTTGGTTTGACTGTCTTGTTTCTATGGATGTTGGAAATGGAAAAGGCTGTAGTGATTTTATAAATGGTGGAGCAGTCTTTGTCCTAGAAACAGAAGAATTTAAAGCTTTCCTCTTTATAGAAAAATATTTTTATTTTCATTTTCTGAAGTTAGTGGACTTTACCATGGGGTATATCTATAGCAGCCAGAATACTTACAGCAAACCCTACACATTTTAATCACATTGTAATTTACAATGATCATCATTTTCAAAATTGCATGTATTTTATATAATTTTCATTTTCTGTCCCCTTCTGTGTATGTTCAGAAACAACTGTTCTAACATAACATAGGGAACAATTTAGTACTGCATGTAGATAGTGAATGGATTTCTAAAGGTAAAAAAAAATATATGTGAGATAAAGATAAGTAAAAGCATAGATAAATTATACCAAAAGGAACAATTATACTTTAAAAATGTACATCAAGTAAATATGTAGAGTAGTTCCATAATTTAGACTGAACCTCTCCTGTTTCTTAAAACAATAATTCAATCATATATTATTACATCAAGACTTGCAGTTTGATATCAGAAACACTTCAGAATAGGCACTCCTTTCACTAGCTTTCTAACAACAGGGGGTACCCTTGTTGCCTACCATGTTACACTGAATATGCAAATGTTTTCTATATTATGGCATATTAGGACATGGAGACTTGCCACTTGTGCTATAATAGTAAGAGCCAGAAGCCAATTGCTTTCAAGCCATATTTTTTAAGCTAGAGAGCATTAGCCAAGAGCAGTCAAAGTGACAAGGCACTAAGTATATGAACAGAATGAACATCCAGCAAAGAAGTTTAAAGGAATACAACTTCAATGAAATTGGTAAAGCTGTCCAGTGATTTAGATGGTGAACTATCTTTAAGGGTATTTTTTTGAGAGAGAGGGTATATGAATTACTGTTTCAATTCTGTGGGGTTTTTTTTTGAGAGAAATAGGAATATGACTAGGCTGCATTTGCTCTTGAAATACTTACAAATTTGGTCTGAGTGAAATAAAAATGGCATGAAAATGTCAACTGAGCTTGTGAAGATTTAGGGCATGCTACTCTGAGATTCAGGTGACAGCAGTTATCAGTAACCTAAGCAGTTCATTCTGCTCTCTGGTTCCATCTTCAAGGGGAACTTTTTTAGACATAACTTATAAGAAGAATTAAGAACCCTTACCCCCACAATAACCATGATGTCTTCATAGGAGCAAATTAAGTGGAAATACTTACTATAAGTAAGATTTCTAAGGGAAGGAGTTTTTAGGGAATCATTTTAAAAATATGACTTAAGTCCAAATCCAAAATGTATTTATTTTAGTTCTTTTGTTCACTGACTCAATACACATTTTGTTGTTATTGTTCTTTTCTTCATTATAACTTGTACATTTAAACAAAGATGTTATTTTGATACTGTAACCATATTTGGAGGTATAACAAAATGAAGTCTCCACTTATGCAATTACTGATTTACAGCAAAGAAGATCAATAGAAATTACTACTAATAAATATATTATTACTTAGGTGCCCCTTCTGCTTTTGGGTGCCTCAATAGCAAATAGAAATTCATGATTATGAAAATAATGAGATTGGAAGAATGAATAGTCGATGATTATAAAGACTATGCTTATATACTCTCACTTAGCCTTGCATGGAAAATAAATGGAACAAAATACAATGATGTTTCAAAACAGCATCTGTAAAGCAAAAGGAAGAGGAAACAAGATATTAAAAAGAGTTACATGGAGTTGACATTGAAAAATGATCATTTGGAGTTTAACACATAAAAGTTTTAAAGCTAGAACCATTAGGTTCTTTGTCACTTTTAAAAACCCCATTATCTGTCCATGAAGCTCTTGCTATGTTATCAAAGCTCTTTCTGAACACCATACATCATGGAAGGCTCCTCAGATTCCCAAGGTCTAGAACTGTCCTTCTCTAAGTGCCTGTCGTCCTTAACTTGTACCTCTTCCAGAGAACTCCCACAATCTACTGAGTGTTCCAGCCATTTTACACTGCCTGTGAGCTCCTGGAGAGCAGAGACCAGATCTTGCTATTATTTTAATCTCCAACCTTTCAGTAGAGGGTCTGCACATACATCGATTTCTCAGTAATTTTTCAGTGAATTAAAATATGGTTTACTCATTTCTGTTTAAAAATTAATATATTTGGAAAGCAGAATAGATTCCATCCCTAAATAAAGTAAATGTATTTTATAAATTATAAATGTCAGAATTATTTTCAAGATTTAATCAACTAAAGAGAAAAATGTTCCAGCCCTGAAAATTAAGCATTAAGATTTTGAATGAAAATTATCCAATTTTCCAGTAACATTTATAGGAAATATATTTAAATGATTTACTTGCAGTTTATTTTAAAAGAATAGATGTTATATTTTATCAATTATGTTTACATAACATATATGTTCTCATGTTATTAGATATGCTTCATAAATATCATAGCAGCACTATAATTCATCTTATCAGTATACCATAATTGACTTAATATTTACATTTCTTGTAGACATATTTATTTGTCCAAGTTAATATTATGAAGAACAGTGCAAGTTAAAAACATTATTTTAGTTATAAAATTGTTAGAAATAAAACTTTCATTATTTGCACAGCAGCGATTGGTGGGATAACACTGAGAACATAATCAAACAGACATCATGGCTAAGGTAGCAAAAAGATTTTATGTATTTTTTAAGATATATTTGCATGGCTGGTATTTTACCTGGAATTCAGAAGGGCATGGAATAATATCCCTCTGAATTCCAGAAAAGAAATACACCTTCAGCTAACATAAGAAGGGTATGTATATATGCTATAAGATTAAGAAACCTACCTGCACAGCCTTTCCTACTGAATATTTGAAGTGGAATAGCAAGCTAAAAAACAATTTGCAAAGGCTAAGACCAGTTCCCAGTTAAAGTTTATACTAAAAAATTACTCAGTGTGTGTAAGTTATTTACAAAGTTTTTAGTAGAAAGCTAGTGTTTTAGATTGTGGACTAGTGCCAAATTTTCTAGGTTCACATTATATTTCTTCCACTGACTAATTGTATAATTTGGAGCAAGTTCTTTAACTGATCTGAGGCTATTCTATCTACTCCAAACACACAAAAAACGTACCTATCTCCTAAGGTTGCTGTGCATGTCAAGTAAGCTAATAATTATAGTATTAAGTTTATATTACTCTTTTCTAGCTATTTTATGTAAATAACTTGTGTATATGTGTATGTGTAAGTATATCATGATATTAATACAAAATTTGGAGAGATAGCATAGTTTAGTGTTTAAAAGTGTAGATTGTAGAATCAGACTATCTGGGTTTGAATCAAGCTCTGCAACTTCTTACTTAAATGGCTTTTACAAGTTACTTAATTTTTCTCTGCCTCCATTCTCTTATCTATAAAATGAGAATAATAATACCTATATTTTATGTTTTAGAAAGATTCAGTAAGTTTATTTTTAATGTGCCTAAACAATGTCACATAAAAAGCTCTGTATTAGTTTGTTAAATTAAATCAATGTTTGCTATTGCTATTTAAGTAACACAGAGCATCACTAACAAGGGAGACAGTGACGTACAGACCGGTGAATCTTTGCCACCAGTACTCCTCCTTTTTCCAGAACCCTTAAACCTTCAGAATTTTTTTAAGTAACAGTATGTGTAGATAGATGGTTGAGCATTGGTCTTCCCTTTTCTTCTGTCACTTGAAATGTTACAATACCTAAAGATTATATATTTCAAGCATGTAAGAAAATTGCCCAACATTTCACAATAGAAGCTACAAGATAAATTCTGAAAGGTGAAATGTAACTACTCAATTAGAATTTGGCCAGCAATTTTGGGGAAAGCAAGGCATCACTGTCTGTATAGGAAGTAGTACAGGAAAACTATTAATTCAGTAGTAGAAATAGAACTTAAAGTGAGAGAGCAACACAGTCAGGAAATAAAAGGAATATATGCCAAGTAAGTATAAAGGAGAAAAAAATGATACAAAGTGAACCCCCAAAATTGAATACAAATTAATTTGTCTTAGAAAATGTAAAAAATGTAGAATAAATACTATGTTACAAAAGCAGTACGTTTAGAGTGGATTTTTAAAAAATCAATACAGATATTTCTGAGGCTTAAGTACCCCATTAACTGGAAGAGGCTATACTTTATTAAATGCTGTTTTCTGTTAAGTTAGCCCAGTATTTCCCAGTGTGGTCTTAGTGATGTTTTGAGCTGCATATTTCTTCATTGTGGAAGACTGTCAACCCCGTATCCTGTAGGGGGTTAACAGCACACCCACTAGGACCACCCCAGTGGGGGCAAACATGTATTCTGGCATTGCCGAATGCCCCTGGAATAGGCAAAATTCCCCCAGGTGAGAACCACTCATTTAACCAATCAGAAAATAAAATAATCTTAGTTTTGCATGATAACTGAACATTTATGTAGTTCAACTCTTAACACAACAGGTTCTCCTTATTACCTCAAATTAATGTTCATGTAGCCACCCTTTGAATTGTTATCTGTGATTAAAAATTCACTTTCTCACTCTCTATTTTTCAATAGTTCTTTTTTATATCCACTTTCGTGGATAGGATTTTACCTTGTATATCTTATTTCTGGTAAGTCTTCTTATTCCCAGAGGGTGCAGGGGTCTCCTCCTTTTCCCTTCCTAAATATCATTATGTCATCTATTTCAGCACCTCCCAACAGGGTGCCAGTAGAAGACACTTGTAAACAAATTCTTCTGACTCAGTGTGAACTATGGAAAATACAGCCAGAAATGTGATTGAACTTTCATCTTTGTTCCAAACTATATATGTAACTTGAAATCACATGATCCTTTTTAGAAACCTTATGGAATTCTTCAATCATGCTGAATTTGAAGACAAGAAAATACCTGTTATTTCCATTTGCTCTGCCATGACAAGATATTTACTACATCTACCCTATGCTTTTAGAGCTCTTAAAAAAGTGAGTATATTAATTCCAGGGTCAACCCATACTTTTACAATAACTAACATTTTTTAGTTATACTTCCCAAGAGAAAAGTAGTCATAACATTTAACAGTAGGAGGACAGAACTCTGATCAATCAAAACAGAGGCCTGACCACTGAAACTGGATGTCTGCCAGAATATGCCCAGTAAAGCCGCATCTGTACAAACCAACTAAGTGCCAGCCAACTCTCACAGGTGATTTTTAAAATTAATATCAGAACTCTCCAAATCCCAGTTATTTTTACCTATTAATACATTTTTCCAGACTATTTTGAATCCTGACCATTTTCCAATGCAAACAATGCAAAATAATTACTTTAATCATAACAGGTAAAAAGTGTATTTTATTTGACCTTGCTAAGAATGAGAAACCCAAAAGAAAAGCAAATTAAGTCCTGGGGCTTTTATTAGTTAATATTGTTAATATTAGTTAATAGATTATCAACTCTAATCACATAGAAATGTACTATGCCTGGTCTTCTAATTCCACACAAGAGTGAAAACTACTGCATGTTTTCCTCAATAGTTTTCCTAAAGCCCATTCTCATACAGAGTTTTTCAACTATCTTGATACCCTTTCTATTTTTGCCATTCTTACTGTGATGTGTGGCAAATTTTGCCAGGGTTGTTCATGCTTCATACATTTATTCTTCAGCTAATTTTTCTAAATCTTGTCAGGTTATAATGTCATTCAATTTGAATAAATTACATGCAGTACTTTTATGCAAAATGGATAACATTTTTATAGACAAATTAATTCAGTGTTTACTTAAGTAACAAAAATAATGAATTAACAATTAAATTTGAAAATTTATATGCTAAGTATTATATTTTAGAATCTATAATCCTCTAAAACATTTTATCACAATTCATATCATTCTAAGAAAGCTGGCAGATTTGATATGACTATAATAAGATGTACTGAAAAAAATAATAACATATAAATAGAAAATCAGGTTGTAGAGAAATTTAAAAGTTGAATGCAGGTTTGCTAATCTCAAGGACCCTAAAACCATGAAAATAATTTTATCTGTCTTTGTATTTCTAGTGCCCAGCTTAGTATCTGGCATCTAAAAATGATAAATAAGTATTTGTTATATAAACAAATGAGCAAAATAGTTCTTCATGCAATAATATTCATAGCATATCCAGTTTTTACTCTAAAATTTCATTACTTTAAATTTTTATGCTTTAAGAAATAAATCCTTAGAAATATACTTAAGAAATATATTGAATAAAAAATAAACTTTTAGGAAAATAAATACTTATTAATAAAGTATGGATTTACAAAACAAAATATCAGTTGATGCAATCAATTTCTTTTAGTGATACTTAATACCATTGATTCTAATACCTCCATTATAACTATAGAATCTCCTAGTTAAATTAAGGTTAATTTGTGCTATGGAAGATCTGGAAGATTATTCTCCAGACACTGATGAACATATTCAGTAATATTACAGTGTTTTTTGCCAGAGTTTAGAGAAACTAAACAGAGCCCAACTTTGTTACCTTGCTGCTAGCATGTTTTCTGTGTTGTTTCTTTTTCCCTCTAGAGTTTAAGTCTAATCTTAAACAATCACTCTAGTTTTATTCCCTAGAGAAGCACTGAGTAAGTTTTTATCTATGTTTGCCAAATCTAGTTTATGTTTAGAAACCTCAGGAGGTGGTGTTGGGGTGTATATACATGTGTAGATGTGTGTGTGTGTGTGTGTGTGCATGCACACACACACACACACACACCTCACATCCCCTGGGAATTCTGATAATATAGACCTGGCTTTAGATACCTGGAATATGAATTTGTAAAGTCTTCTTGGTTATACTGATCATCAGCCAGCATTGGCAACCACTGGTCCATGCTATTGACTTCTTACCTTAGTTATGAGAGCTGTACATCACTTGGGAGGTGCATCTGGTTTTGAAATGAGCAACTAGAAAACTGTGTTCATTCTACCTATACAGAGACCATTTTAAAAAGAGTAGCCTAAGCAGAGTTTAATTGTGGAAATTCTTTATGAAATATATGTTCTTTTTGGTAATAAGCTTGGTGATGAAGTTATGCTTTCTGCAAAAGAGACTGAAGTGTGCTTTTTAATAAAGCAGACTCAACTCAGCACATATTGTTGAGATAGAACACTCTTCTTCAACATATGGATTTTGATGAGCTTACTAGAAACTCTGTGAGAAAGACTTTTTGGTGACTAAATGTGTAGCTGGTTTCTGATAAAAAACTTATTGAATAAATAAACCCACTTGAACTGAAATCTCCAATGATCTTTTGGAACTTCTTCTTTCGAGTATCCCCTGCGCCAGTTTACACTAAATTTGCTAGAAACATATTGAGTGAATAATTCAGGTGCATATCACGGTGAATATCTCAGAATATTTCTTACCACTAGGACAGAGAGTTAATAAATATGAGTCCTTTTTTCCATGGCCAACTGGCTTTATGAAAGCAGGGAACTATTATACTGATGTTCTTTGTTTTTTGTCTGAAAAACAAAGAACTTTAAAAAATACATGGATTTATTAAATGCATTTTAAAGTATTTTATATTAGACATTCTGGTAGATATAAAAGGTGTTACAAATAAGATACAAACAAATCTCATAGACCCAGGAGAGCAGTATAAATCAAAGTTATGTCCTTAATATTTACCATTCAGCATGAAATGGAATATGTGAAGTAGACCTGTGTAAAAAAATGCTATAGAAGTTCTGAGGAGAAAGATGCGCCACTTGCCTGGAGTTTCAGGAAAGGTTTCTTTGTGCTACCACTTGAACAAGTAGAAATATCTCATGAAGAATTGGGTGATAGGGATACGTTATGGAAGGAGACTGTCTGAAAGAAATAGATAAAATAGAATAACATTTGTTTAGAGATGATAAATCTCTAAAAAGAGACCCAAAATATTGAGGGGATGCATTAATGCATGACAACTTTATTGTCTAGCATTAGGAAAACATTCCAGTTTTCCAGGAGATGTAAATACCAGTTTAAAAGTATTGAGGTGTTGATTGTTCGTGAGAGGAGGGTTGTGTTAATAAGTGATTAAGAATGGCTTAGAGATTTTTCAAATAGCCAGTGACTTTCAGGCTTGTTTGTCTATATGTTCACCTGCCTATTGTACTGGTAAAATTTTATCCAGAAATCCTGTGTATCAAATAAATAAAAATACAGCTGCTCTGGCTGAAAGGGAGTGGAGAGAGATGGAACCCGGAAACCCACACAATGAATTTCCTGCTGGCTTTTTTTAGGAACTACTGAGGAAATTTATTTACTCAGAACACACTGAAAACTGTGGGTAGGATGACTGGGTGTAGGATGATGCCACATACAGAAAGCTGGTCGGTCAGTAAGGGGAGCAAGCTGGGGATAGAGGTGAGTAAATTTGCCAGCCACACTGATGTAGCAAACTAACATTTAGGTTGGTATGTCTAAGAGCAGGCAACTGTGGTGAGAGCTAAGGGGAGAAGCTGAGGAAAGGGCTGTAATTTGAAAGGACTGTTGATACTGCAGTGAGAGATAACATTGCCAGAAAGGTGCAGAAGGAGAAAACAAAAGAGCAAAGGCTCAGTTTTAAAGGATATAGCAATTCAAGTTGTGAGAAGCAGAACAGAAGCCTCTAGAGGACCAAACAGGGAAGGAATAGGGACAAAAAGCAGGAGGTCCCTTATGTGAGGGTAAAGATGCACAAACAACAGCTGATTATGATTACAGAGAATAAGGAACAGCATTTTATTTCTTGGTTGGTTGTGTTTATTTGTTTATAATTGTTTGATAACCTACTTTCAAAGTTTATAATATTTTTTAAAATACAATATAAATAGACACATATGGCCTGTTTAAAAAAAATACAACTGTATAGGAAAAAGTCTATTTACTAAATTAATTCATGAGTGAATAGAAATATTTTTCTTATTTGAATTTGTTTTAAGGGAGCAAGACTAAGCAGTATAAAGGCGAGGAGAAAAAAAAATACTTGAAAGCAAAAAAAAAAAAACCTCATTAAATAAGTCATTACCATCTTGGTTGTAATACATTTATTGGAGTCAGAAACTTTTTTCACCCATGATTCTAATGGAGAGCCATGTTGTATGCTAGATCAAAGGGAATGAGATAAACTTCCTAATGACATTATACGTGGAAAAATAATATGAAATATATAACAAGAATGCATTGAATTTCCAGTAGAGGTCATGCCTAAAGTCAAGACGCAAAAGATTAATGACTGAGAAAAGATTAATGACTTGGAAAATTAGATCAGTGCTGATCAGTGGAGCTGAATAATCTCTAAAAGCCTCATGATATGAGAGAGAAACATCAATTTGTTGCCTCCTATACTCACCCAGACTGGAGATCGAACCGGCAACCTAGGTATGTGCCCTGACTGGGAATCAAACCTGCAAATTTTGGTTCACGGGACAACGCTCTAACCAACTGAGTCACCAGGAGGGATTAATTCTCTATTTTGAATGGTACATACATTGATCATCGTTGCATTACATATTTTCTGATAAAGTTTTATGAACTGTAATTGCATATTCTGATGATATACTGAGCTATAGTAGTGGCAACATTGTAGATTATGAGGTGATTTATCTGTTTTAGCTAATGATTTTACAATTTCATTATTAACTCAGTATACTTGATAATACAATATTGTGTCATCAGATATATTAGGGTGAGGATGAGATGTATGCTTTATATGGCATTCCTTAAATTTAAGTTGCTTAATTTGAAAATGCACTTAAATACCATAATGTCGAGAGTGGAAATGTTTCATTGCACATCAATTTTTTGTTAACTCTTTTCTCCTGCTGCTGGAAATTATGCCATATGATTTTTTCCAGAATGTAGTTTTTGTGCCTCCCCTAATAGATGTTGTGTTCCTAAAGTAAGTCTTATTGTTCTGTTATTTCATGTTGTCCTCAGTGAATACTTAAATTGTGTTTTCTCACCACAGTGTACTCATATTAAAACTGTTAGAACTGTGTTTTGCATTTAATTCTTTTTCTTTAACAAAGCAATACATAGAAGGGAAGACAGAGCAACTTTAGAAAACAAAATAAAATTTTCAAAAAATAACATATCAAAAGAATTACATAGAAAATAGTGGTTATATTTATATCATAAAAGCTCTGTAAATAACTTCAGTATAAAATATAAGAATAAAAGGCAGCTCAATTTTAAATTAGTCCTAAATTAAACTGATAGGTTAGATTATTTAAGAGCTATTTCAGACTAAAAGTACTTTTAATTGGAACTATGTTACTTTCCTACAAGGAAGCAGTAAGCTCCCCTGAGGCTCAGGGTCTCCTCATCTTATCTCAGCTCCACCAACCACAAAACGTATGCAAATGCACTTGGCATCCTGCCAGCTTCTTTCAGGGATTTTGCTTGCCTGGCTATTATAGGAGGTTGCATTTGTGATTTTGAATTTAATGGATTGACAACACATTTTCTTTTTAGTTAATTACAACCAAATATATTCAAAATACAACCAAATATAATCAAAGAGTAAATATGACTTAGTATACACTATATGATAAGAATGCACCATCTATACCAGCAAGTAGAGAAGATAATACTACATTGAAAGCTACACTTTTGCCTGATTTTCTTTTTTGGTATAAGCCTATGTGACATTAATGGAGGTGAAACATGAAAAAACAACCAAGAAACCATGGCAAATAAGATTTTTCTTTCTTTTTTTCCTTTATTTTTATTATTGATAATACTATAGATGCCCCCATTCCTCCCACTTTGACTACACCCACCCAGCCCCTACCCCCTTCCTTCAGACCATCACCACACTATTGTCTGTCTCCATGGGTTATGTATGCATATACTTCTTCGTTCTTTTGGCAAATCCCTTCCCTTTTTTAGTTTCCCCAACCCCCCTCCCCTCTGACAGCTGTCAACTTATTCCAATATTATAGACACTGAGTTGTTTCATTTCCCAAGCTTTTACACACACTCTGTGCCTCAGCCAGTAATGATCTTTCTTCATTCTGTGGCTTGCATCTCTTGTTCAGCCTTCAAACTCTTCCATTATCATATTCTCTGAAAAACATTTTTTGGTTGTGCCTTAATAACTTTCACCAAAATAGCATTGACCTATAGCATAGCTATGATCTTTGAACATAGAACTCTCTTACCATATATATCACATTGTATGATAATTACCCACATATTGCCCTTTCTAAACTCTTTAAAGGCAGGACAAGTATCTTTATATGAAAAGCTGTTGCGCGTGGGTCACCGGCCAGCAGTGACCACGGAACGCTGTGGATGGCTCGACAATAAACACGCGAGAAAAAACATGCACAGAGACAAACTAGTTTCTGTGGGGAAGTAGGGACGAAATGGCCACCCCTTCTAGTGAGGAGCGTGCTGATTTACCGTCCATACCTGCTTTTATTAGGCTCATTTTGCATAATAATTCAGGTAAAGTACAGTACTCATTCAGGGGAAGTAAGGAACTATAGAAAACAAAGAACTCTGCCCGTCTATTGAGTTGGGGGTCAAAGAGCTGTAAAGACTGAGGAACAAACTAACTTCCTCCTAAGATCCTTCTCATTCAACTGAGAGCATTCTAAACAAAGGAGGTTTCACAGTAATTTACATGTTCTTTCTTAGGCCTGATCACCCTGGGGAATCCGCACTTCTCAGTACCGAGCTGCACCACCCTGTCATTGTTTCAGGCTTAGGTGGAGCAAGGGAACTAAGGCAACTGAGAGATAAGGAGATTTTCTTCCAGACGCTGAGAACTCAGGCTATGTCAGAGCCAAGGAGCGAGGGTCCATCACCCCCTTTTGCTGCAGCCCCCCAAGTCCTTCTTTTGGGGGGGGCCTCCCAAAGTGATCGTGCCTGGCTTAGGTCGTTCCCCCCGTGGGGAATCTTACCCGTCTTTGGCTAACCGACCAAGCTTTTGGGGGTTCAGTTATGAATAAAGCAGCAGAAGCAGCATTCCTGCCAGGAAGATAAGCTTTTGTCTCCTTGCTGGCTTACAGTTCCAAGGGCATTCCCTTAGCTTTAGCCTAGGCGGGGGTTTCAGCCTCTGATACCAGTCAGGGCGGTTCCCAACAAAAAGCAGCTAAATTCTTAGAACATAGTAGGTGCTCAATAAATGTTCATTGAATGGTTAATGCTGACTGTCACAAATTATTCCCTGTGCCTGTTTCTCATCTGAACATGTTGTGATTATCTTAGTTGATGTATAAGGTGCTTCTTAACTTGATAAAACAGACCAGCTATATAAAATTTTGGCTCCAATACCTCTCTTAACACCATTGACCACCTTTATTGAACATTTTATTATTCTGCTCTAAAACCACTCTTTTTTGTGTCTCTGAAAAGGGATTCTTCTATTACCCTTTCAATATTGATTTCCAGTATTAAAAAAAAAAAGCTGGCTCTTCCTTTGGCAGCAGCTGTGGCTGGACAGGAGGACCCAGTGCGGCGGGAAATTCACCAGGACTGGGCCAATCGGGAGTACATTGAGCTCATCACCAGCAGCATCAAGAAAATTGTGGACCTGCTCAACTCATTCAATCTGTCTTGTCGTTCAAGATTCGCAACACTAGATGAGAAACTGACAGCCCTTGAACGGAGAATAGAGTACATTGAAGCACGGGTGGCAAAAGGTGAGACCTTCACCTAGAACTTTGCCAGGCTGCTTCTGGGAAGTTGCTTTACAGAACCCAGGCCTCCGTGGAACAGGTCCCAGCAGCCTTCAACTCCTTTCTCTCTCCTTAAAGAACAGCAGGGCTTATTCTTGGTTTTCTTTCTTCAATCATGTGGCCTTTGGGCTCTGCCATGTACATCTGACAGTGTGATATGGCACATGGGGCAAAGTCTAGGGGAACTCTTGAAAACATTAGGCATTTTACCTTTTCAGTAACATTTCATAGAACTACTGGTAAATGTATTTGAGGCGCTCAGAGGCAAAAACCTGAGACTCTTTGTGAAGGTCTTCCCCACCTCTCACTTTCTCCCGGACTCTCCTTACAGTTTTCATTGCCTTTGCATTGATTCTATAAACAGTCTTTGTCTCCTCCCCACCTTCGTTTGGGGGTGGCAGCCAGTCCTTGTTGAGACTCTCATGCCCTGGCACACTGGCTGCCAGAGAATGTTGTTGTTAACCCCAGTTTTTTGTCCTTCTGGGGAAGTCAAGGCGAGGCCTCTGCTTGACTTGAAGGGACATTTTCAATTTTCTTTCTGTCATTTAGACTGTCTGCCTCTGATATTTCACAAATAAACTCCTCAACTTTATCCCACTGCTGTGACTGTGGTGGGGAGAGGAGCTAGAGATGGGACTCGTATATTCCACAGAAATCTGATGTGTGGGATTATTATTCTAACATAACACTTTCAGGGAAAGTTGCTTGATCAAAGCCTAGACAACTCACCAGCCAGAGCCCCCATATTTGGACTTTGAGCTGACTAATTCATCCTGGGAATCAACTGGTCACTCAGCAAACATTTGCCAAGTGCTTACTTTGTAGGTACATTATGTATGCTCCGATAAAAGATACAATGTTGAAAAAAAAGCTGAGTTTGCAGTTGCTTCCTGTTCTATCCCATCTGTAATTCCCTCCTGGACATTTACACGTTTGTCTGATTTCAGCTAGCAATTATTTGTACATTATTTCAAAGCTTAGATCTCTAGTCCTTGATACAGTTTATCAATAAAAATTCTCATTCTGTAAGACCATTTTTGAATTCTGGCTTGCTTTTGAATTCTGATTCTGTAAATAAACATAATACTTAATTTCCATTTAATAGTACTTAATGGCCACCAGGTTAATGGTTCAACCCAAGTAATCTGTAAAAAATAAAAAGTCTATCAGCTAACTGGTCTTATTGAGATTCACCTATTTTAGAAAGAAAATAGTGTTTGTGTGGCAGGTTCTCAAAGGACATGGTCTATTGTATTAGAAAGTATACTTTCTTACACTGATAATAATCCAAGTAACTTGAATTTCAGCCTTAAATAGATTCAATAGAAATAGACATTATTTTTCCTTTAATTTTTGAGAAGCAATAGTTGATAGAAAATGCTATAATGTCCAAGATCTAGGACAGGATTTTTTTATTTTACTTAAGATTCATTTGGAGTAGTCAATATTTTTAAGTGGAAGCTTATTAACTCATTAATCTTATAAGTAAGAGTAGATAAAACTAGCACCCTGAAAAAGACTTCTAAATCCTTTAAAATACATCTTCCCTTTCCATTAAAAATTTGAAACTCTCTCATAGGAATTATGGTAAATATGCCACAACACATTATTTCACAAATATATTTCTACATATCATTTCAGAAATGGCAAGAGAACTTATAACTTAATCCATTATGCCAGAACAGGCTAAACTTCCAAAAAATTTGAGCATGAAAAACTATGTTTTGTCAAACACAAAACACAATAAAAACATCCCACAGAGTTAAGCACTAGGGAATAATGTCTATTCAGTTCAGGTTTTCACTTTCATTTCTAACAACATTGTACATTCCTCCCTACAACTATAGTACTTTTTTCCATGCTGTCAAACATAGAGGCAGATATAGTATAGGCTTAATGTTTTGGTACTTTTATAATAAAATATTTTATATTAGACATTTTCCCCACAACATCATTAAATTTGCTGCAGAATTGCTATGGGCTTAATACAAATTTAGAAAGCAAAAGGAAAACATATTACTCCATGCACTGTTCCATCAACTGCCAACCATAGGCAAGAAAGCTAATGGCAAATGCCTTTTTCCTTTTGAACTAAACTTGGTTCACTCAGAAAACCCAGTCTGGTCCTCTCAGTACTTTAAGCCTCTGTTATCATAGAATGCTTATTTAAATTATATTATGAATTATGTAAATCTCAGTAGGATAAAATAAAGGCTTATGTTTGCCATCAAGTGTTCCAAAGAGCAATAGTTAAAAGATATGTTAATAGTAGGTGCTATTTGAAAAACAAACAATAAAGGTTTCATGTTCAAAAAAACTCTTTGGAAACTCTGGGTCAAACAAAATAAAATATGTAGAGCCTTAACATGCTAATTTGTTTTGTGAATCTCTAAGGTATAAAAAACAGCATTTCTTTACAAAAATTATGGAATCTTTTTCTTTTTAGCTAGTTTCCACTTATTTGTTCATGAATCATTATTTTCTAAGTGTTCGCCATATTTTTCTTTACTCCAGCTTAGGCTCCTGTATGGCAGAGAGACAGAAACAGGTACACAGCCTATGTTAAATGTTGAGTAAAGGGTGGATAATACAATGTGAAAGGGAACTTTGTAGTCACATCAGATCTCTATGGGACATAACATCTGAGTTGAGGCCTGGAGGATTATTATTAAACTATTCATGAAAAAAATTGGGAAGAAACACTGTATCCAAAGGAAGCATAGGCAAGGAAGTGTTAAGTGTGTCTTTCGTTTTGTAGAAATAGAATGGAGGTAACATGGCTACAGCAGAAGGTACATAGGAAATAATGAGATGTGAGGTTGGGGAAGGAGGCAGACAGGCACACATGAGACATTATAAGTCACGATAAGATGTTTGAATTTTATTACTAACACACTACAAAACAAACTACTAGTGATGGTAATACAAGAGTAAATGAATGTAAGCTAGAAGAGGGCAGATGAGTATAGATAACTACAGAGCTTAGAACAGTATCTGGACCATATTTAAGCACCCTATAATTTTTGTTGCATTAACACATAAAAAGTAATGATTCTTAGCTAGGAAATGCATATTTATACCCTGGCTGGTGTAGTTCAGAGGACTGAGCACTGGCCTGTGAACCCAACAGTTGCTGGTTTGATTCCCAGTCAGGGCACATGCCTGGGTTGCGGGCCAGGTCCCCAGTAGGAGATGCTCAAGAGGAAACAACACATTGATTCCCTCTCCTTCTTTTTCTCCCTTCCTTCCCCTCTCTAAAAATAAATAAACAAAATCTTGGGGAAAAAAGAAAATACATATTTAATAGAGAGAAAATATGAATATACAATTTGGCAATGGTTCATCTTGGTATGAATAATTCATATGAACAGTTAAACTTTAAAAAGAGATACCACATGGTTGTAATAAGAGCTCATACTGAGTATATTCATATAGTTTACAAAAAAACTTCAGACCTGTATGGTAAAAGTATTAAAAAGTCTACACAGGTCATTTTCACTTTTCAGTTATTTTACTGTATCTTACTTGCGAATTAAATGCACTTTTGCATATTTAGAGTCCCAAAATTCTTAGTTTATTCACCTGACAGTTGACGGTGTCTACTCCATTTGCAAACCTGTTAAATTAATGAGAAATTCTTAAGAACACAAATGTTCCTCAAACAGAATTTCTTACTGTGTTTTATTTTGTGAAACTTTTATGTCACTTTGTTTTATTAATATCTTTTATATCAACTACATAGTTTATAAAATTTTGCAAATGTTCATATTTATATGGTAATTTTCATGCAATTTACTAACTATGCAAATATGTAATATAAAGGTAGAAAAAATATCTAAATGCACAGTAATACCCTTCCATTTTGGTGTAAACATCTTTAGCTAAAATTACAACATAATCACATGTAAATTAATGTTTAGTTAACTAGCAATTATAGCATAATAATTACCATGTTCATGAGGAGAGTAATATATGAAAGATAGTTTAACAGTTTCAGAATCAAGAATCTGCCTTTCTTATCAAATATAGCTAATTTCAAAGGTTGATTACAAATAAAATTTTAACTTCTAACTTCATATACATATTGCTTATTCAAAAGGTACTATGATTTATTTAACTAATAGGAAATATATGTTTAGAAAATAAATTTAAGCACTTAGGGAAAATTAATGTTTATTTCCTATGCATACTATAGTTGAATAAAAATAATTTTAGTAGGCAAAATCATCACAATTGTGCTAATCTCTAACAATGAGAATTTACCTTAAACTTTTGGATTAAAAATTATATAATCCAATTTTTGATGATATTATGCTTAAATAGTTAATGTTAAGATTAGTGTTGGTCCAAAATGAGTTCAAGAATATAAACTGTGATTATCCTTTTAATTAACTTAATGTTTCTTTTGAAGATCTGAAGTAATCCATAAGGTTGCTATATTCAGAAGCACAACTATAAAATTATGATCTTGTTATTATTGAAATAAAATTATAAAAATAACAAATTTTAATTCTAAAATATTTCAGTTCTATTTAAATATTCAGGTTTTACTTGGTATAAAGCACCAGTAGGTCTTCTATTTACTATTATGTACTCTTGAATATTTTTTATAGCTAGTCATGTCATTTCAAAGCAGGAGACTCAACATTGACCCTAAATGTGAATGATGTAAATAAAGTCTTGGAAATAAGAATAATAATCTCTACTCCCAGTGTTGTTGCAAAGATTAAATGTAAATAAAATATATGACACATGTTAATGTGCTTTGCATACTTTAGGGGCTCATTTATCATTATTATTAAATAAAACAATAGCTAATAGGACCTAGGATTTACTGCTTTTTATTTTATTTTATTTTTATTTTATTTTAATTGTTTTCAACTACAGTTTTCTGTCTTTTACTCCCATCCTAGCCCATAGACCCAGGCCTCTGTACCTCCTCCCTCCTATTTCTACCCAACCCCCTAGTTTTTGTTCATAT